CTTGACCATATCCCAAAATTACCTAGATCAATTTTGGAATGAGGTCAGGTTTCGAACATCAGATGTTCCAAACTCCAAATTAACCTAGATAGATTTAAGACACAGTCGGGTTTGGGATATCCAATCCCAAATTGACCTAGGTAGATTTGGAACATAGTCAGGTTTGGAGAATCAAATGTCTCGAACTTAACCATATTCCAAATTGACCTAGGTATATTTGAAACATGTTCTAGTTTGGTCTTGTATGTCCCAAACTCGACTATGTTCTAAATTGATTTGGAATATGGTCAGGTTTAGGGTATTAAATGTCCCAAAATTAACCATACCCAAGTTAGATTTGGGACATGATCATCCAAAATCGAAATTCCAGTTTGGGAAGTCCGAAATAGGAATTCCGATTTGGGATATCCCAAGTTTAACTTGGGACATGGCGACGTTTGGGCTACAACATTTAATAATTTAAAATGAATGATGGAATCAACCAACGTACTAAAATTGTTTGTAAATTTATTAACGTGATTTCACGTGAAAGTCACGTGATGACAAAAATTTTAAACTTGTTGGGTTGAGTCGTAACTTAATAAGCGAAAGATTTTTTTTATTACTACTCGTTCTAACGTAAGTTGTTGCCTGCAAAAAGGAAAAGCAGCTATGACATTTATTATTTTAATCCGATTTGATGCATTTTTAATATTACTCTAAAGCTAACTCCCTCATTTCTGATGAAAGTTTTTCAAAACATGATGAAGGACAGAACTCATGTGATGAGAAATCAAATGAAAATCACTCGGGCATAAACCACAATGTCTAAGTTACTTTCGTTAATTTGAATGAAAATACATGTTTTCGATTTAAGAGTTATATGCCTAAACAGTAATAAAATTTAATTAATAATATGTTTTTTCAAAGCTACTATCCGAGTGTATATGCCGAAATATCGAAGTCGAAACACTAAAATGACGAAAGATCATTAATTATTAATATTAATCAAAATATTAAAATCGAGACTCTATATATTTTTACTCCGTAATATGAAATGAAAGTTTATAACTTTCACTACTTGTTCAGAAAGCACGTTATAATTTTTCGAGTATACCTTAGAACTAGAATAATCCATTTTAACGACTTTTAATTTTGTAAATATCAACTATATCAACTAATAATAGTTAAACTGTAGAGTGGTGTAAATTTCATAAATAAAGGTTTTGCTTTAACTTTGCATGCTATTTATACAAAAAAACCGTTATTTATAAGTATAAAGAAAGTAAAATTGCAGCCGAAGGTAAATTAAATATCAATTCAATTAAATAAAGAAATAAAAGATTTATTGATGCAATGCTTATAATTAAAATTATATTTTATTTTATTTTTTATTTTTACATTGTTAAGAACTATAAGATGGAAATTTGCTTAAATTAGTGCCCAAAGTGGAATATTTAATCAAATTTCAGGAAAACTTTCGAACGCTGCTCGTAATTATCAATAACTTGCATAATACAATACTCAAAAAACAAAAAATAATAATAATTTATATAAAAATGAAAAAAAATTAGTCTAATCAATTGTATATTTTTATCTAATATAGATTAAAAAAATTTTTTAATTTATAATTTAAATATTTATCTTGTCCGAATCCAATTATCATCATTAAGTTTCTATGATAAATTTAAATTTACCGTAACATTACATTAAAGTGATGTGCCTCAAATACTGCGGTAAGATCTTCACAATATGTTATACAAGATAATCTGTGTTGAAAAAAAAAGGTTCATTTTTTTTAAAAAAAAAAAGCTTTCTTTTAACAATGTCTAATAGTGACAATAAAGGTAAAAGTTTAATAGGAATGCCAAAAAAAAAAAATCTTTTCACCAAACAAAAATAACGAAAAAAAGCTTAACATGTCTAAAATGAATATATTTGAAGATTAGATGATTTCTAAAAAAAAAAAATTATTTCATTAATTCATATTAGAGTCAATTTTGGATGTTATGGAAGTATTCTCATTAGTAGAAATAAAAGATAATTCCATGTATTATTAACCATATTTAAATATTATAATAATTGCCTCAACGTCGGGACGTCTAATTAATTAAATAAAACGTTGCGAAATTACTGCGGCTAATCAAGAATTATTCTAAGGTCGAAATCGGGGAATTAACTAAAGACTTAATGCCATGCCATGCCGTTCGATTCGGTCAACAATCCACCATTTTTATACCTTCAATTCCATGAAGTCAATTGGCCAGAGCACAAATTGAGATCATCCGGGTGGGAATTGCATTGTTCTCCATGCTCGTTGTAAAATATTGAAATTTTCATGGCTCATCTATATTTAATTCGCCACATTGATGTATTTAAACGTAGTAGTTTTTAAATGGAGTATATTTAATTCGACTCTACCCGAATTGCGGTAGCGCTTGTCGAATTCCCTATCAAGGTTGCTATATTGCGCCGAAATTTCGCTGTAACGTAATCCGGTTTTCGGATAATCGATAACTGGATTCAAACAGGTATCAGTACCAATAAAATAAATTTTTTAATGATGACTGTGAATACCTCTCATACCCGTTACTACTATGAAAGAATCGACCTTTCTCAATCTTTATACAGATTACCTGAAAGATTCAAAGAATGTAGCAAAAAAGACCGAATTTATTAAAAAACTCATCAGTAAACTTAAAACAAAGACTTCCAATTTTAATTACATTTTTCAGATTTTCTGGCTTGTAATGAAAATGGTTATTAATATTTTATCGATTTACATTGGGGCGAGGAAAGAATTGAGAGTACGCTACATAGAATTGTTTATGGTTTCCATATTTACCATAATCTTCATCATCTATCCGTTTTTCATGATCCTCTTCAATAGAAAATGGTTAAACGGCATTCGATTACATCAGTTAATTTTATCCATGAGATTTGTTTCAGGATTCTCGCTGTTCTTGCTTATCACATGGTTGAACTTTGATGTGGTGATTTATAATATCAATAGGTTTATGAAATACAAAGATGGTAGACCAGGGAGAGGTCTATGGAAAAAATTTAAACTATTATTGAGAAAAATTGGAAAGACAATTGGTGTCGTATTATTTTACATTTATGTAATCCCACCAGCTGTTTACGCATTCTTTATGAAATGTAGGGAAATCTCCATAACGTTAAAAGAATTCGATTCCAATGATTTAAACGTCCTGTATAACAAGGATCCTTTCGAGACCATGAAAGGCATCATCACATTGATAGGGTTTATGATCAACATAGCATACTTGAATAACCTTCCAGGAATGAATTGGTGGCTAGAAGTCCATCGTATTGAGAAACATATATTCTACGATCTATTGTTAAAGGAAAAGGGAACATGGATTACGATAAAAGTGATTTTTGAGTATTCTAATGCGTTGCAGTTAAATAAGATATTTTGGAAGTCATTGCGTCGTGGGTAGAATAATAAGTAGGTGGGATTTAGCGGAATGCGCTACTTAACTATCCTTTACACATGCGGTAGGATTGAGTTGTTACATTTCAAAGATCTTATTTCATTTTCAACATTTTTGTGATTAAAATAAATAACGATAGCTGTTGAAGACCTTTGTTTGTTCATTCTAATTGTTACTTCCACTCTGTTAATGATTTTGAATATTCATTAAATAAAATTTTGTCGATTTTACTTTCTAAATTAATGAGATTGTCCCAAAACCAAACTAACGAACGATATTTGAATCTTTCAAAGCATAGATTTATAATATGTTTTAATAATTAAATGTGTAGTTAGTTATCGCAAAAACCAATATGAGGACAAGAAGTAAAATCGAAGTTATTTAATTTTTCGACTTTTAAGTTAAATTCCAAGAATTATTTTACAAATCGATGACGACTTACGATATTCTTTTATATAAACTAGGTAAACGTGAACTGTTGGTACGTCCAAAGCGTTCGGACTATTAGATTAACATTTATCGTTAAATTGTATTTTATTAATACTTCGACGAAGCATATTTTAAATATCATTATACTGAACGTTTCAAATGTCTTTCATCTAATCTGAAATTTCATTGGCTGTCATACGCCGTGTCACAGACATTGTTATTGATCTTAAACTATAATAATTATAACTATAAATATATTAAAAAAACTTATTTATGAATGGAATTCAAAATATCACGAGTTAATATTATAGCCAATTAAAGGAAATACATAAGAAGAAAGTCTATTCCTTCTTGAAAGCAAAGAAATTTGCTCAAGAAACTTTTAGAAATATTGATAGTTCGAAGTTTGAATGAATTTTAAAATTATAAAAAATAAGTTTTAGGAATTGCCATATCATTTATTAATATTTTTTGATATATAAATTCGTGTCGTATGCATAAGATATGTTACAGTAAATGCAAAAAAAATGATGATGCTTAAAAACCTTTAAATAATGATTTAAATTCTTGTTAGTCCGGCATTTTTAAGGTAATTCGGGCTGTTTATATAAATTGATTAAAATCTTCGATTAAATAATAAAGACTAATGTAGGTAGCAGATTATCACTTTTCTAAGAATTATATATTTATAAATTAAAGCTTTAGCTATTATCATTTTTTTTTCTTTAACAATACTCCTTTATCAGATAATGTGTGAATCGTGACCACATATGTATAAAGGCATTTTGTTTGTATTATGGCTATAATTCTTGAGATGTAGCGATAATCACATGACTCGCTATTGCTTACCCGAACCCACTTTTTGAAGCACTACACATTAAGTAATTTTGATTTTTAAAAATCAATCAAAGTACCTACCACAACGCTGGTGCTCTAAACTTTCAAAATCTGTTTATTAAATCAAATTGTTACTAAATTTTAATCTATAAAATTATAACTCACTTCCAAATAAAACACTTTCTTGCCAGAAGACATTTGGGCCAATAGACATAATCATTTTCAGACGTCGAATAAATTCGTAACTTTATTTTTTTTTATTTAATAAGGATATGAATAATTTTATAATAATTTAAACTATGAATGACTAATTTGTTTTGAGGAAACTCCATCTTTAATTACAGAATAATCCAAACTTTCACCCTGCAAAGATTTAGTAAATGCAGGTTTAATTTTTTGAACCACATATTTAAGTGGAATCAAACTTTCATCAATACCATTAATAATCTTATTGCACAATTTTTTTTCAGATTCTTTTTCACCAGAAATGGTTTCAATAGTTTGCAAATGACTCTCAACAGTTGTAAGTAATGTATCGATGGGTTCACAAGCAAGTTTATAGTAATTGGTTATATTTGAATCTTGTTGAGTACGGCATGAAACGGCTTCTAACCTATAATAAATTTTATGTAATAGATTATGAATTTACTGTAGTGGCGTTATTAAAAAAATTTAATGTCATAACTTAACAGTTTTATAGCTTCACTAATTAGAGCTGAACCGGTTTTATCGCACATTTCCTTAATTTTTATTGAAATTTTCTCATATGATTCTTTTAAGCTTTTGATTTCATCCTCTTTTTTTTTCATTCTATTTTCATGATTTTCATCCATTTTTCTAAATTCTTCTTCCAATGTTACTTTAATTTCTTTCAATTTTATTGCTTTTCCTGCCAAATCGATGAACTCTTTGCGTTGTTTCTCCTGTTGAGGAACCATTAATTCTATATTTTCATTTGCTTTATTAATCTTACTTTTATAGTCTAGAAAACAAAGATAATACATTAAAATTGGCTAGTTTCTCTTTTTCAAAAATTTTCTCCAATTTTTTCATACCTTTATAAAAAAGAAAGAACATTAATCTATTACTTTTCGCATCTAGATCCATTCGCACAAGTTTTCCCCGGACTTCTTTCATATCATCTATTTGTTTTGCAAGATCTTCCAAATCTTCCTTATTAAAATCACGTCGTGATTCCAATTTCTTGACATCTTCCACAATTTTTTCGATCTCTGAACGATGTTTAATCCAATCATTGTATTCTTCTTCTTGAAGTTTATCCAATTCTTCTTGTAATTTATTTATTTTTTGTTTTATAAACTTCTTTTCTTCAATCAATAATGGCAATCCTTGTGAACCAGAAAGAGTTATATATGATTTAAGGTTTGATTCAAGACATTTATAATTTTTATCATTAAAATTTTCTAAATTGGTAACGTTTTTACGTAAATGTCCGATAGGATTTTTTATATAATGAAGAAAACTTGTTGGCGTTGGTGAATACTCATAATACTTTATAAAATTATCCGCTCCTTTATTAAGTTTGTTTATGGAATTAATAACATCGATCAGATGATTACGATAACCAACAGAAGCGAACAAATTCTTAGCGACTAAGTCAGGTATTTTAACGCTAATTGGTAGTTTATAATTAATAAGTTTATTTACCTTAAAAGATACAGTGTTAAAAGTAGAACTTACATCTCATTATTTTGTGCAATATCACTTTCAGTAATAGTGATAATCCTTTGAAATTCGTAAAGAGATTCAATGACGCGCATCTGTTGTTCAATAACATTAATTAACGGACTAATGACTTGATACTTATCCACATTTTCATCATAAGGGTTTGTCCAAGTTATATTTTTGTTGGTTTGTACGGAGTTAATATTTTCTTCAACCATTATCTTGAATATAGTTCTGAAAAAAAAGCAATTTAGTTATTTTCGACCTCTTAAATACAAACGAAACAATTAGCAAGGAATATAATATTTCGATTATTTCGTATAATATTCACTATAACATTTCCATATCAGATAATTTCGATGTCATAAACAGGTTTTTATTTTCATGTTATTTGTTTCATATGATTATTTCTGTCTTACGTTTACAAACAATTTAGCTATACGTTTGAAGATTATGTAAACATTGATAACTGCTTTCATCTGTTTGTACCGGAAAAATCATAGTGACGGTCCTTGATTCATCTTATTGATTGATTTGTAATTCAAAGAAATGATTTTGAAAGTTCGAAAATAAATCCTGTATCATGCCAAAACTGGCTAAAAAGGAAATTGAATGCCAAGAATAATTTTGTTAAGACGAATGTTTAATGAATAATTAGGCGCTGACAGAACAATAGGAATTATTCGTGATAAATGATCGGCGAAGAGGTTCATCCATAATATTATTTTCGTCATAATCATCACCAATATAATCATCACCGATAATTTCTTCGTCATAATCATCACCAATATAATCATCCCCAATAATATCTTCGTCATAATCATCACTAATATAATCATCCCCAATAATATCTTCGTCATAATCATCAACAATATGATCATCCCCGATAATATCTTCGTCTCGTCATAATCATCACCAATATAATCATCTCCGATAATATCTTCGCTTCGTCATAATCATCACCAATATAATCATCCCCGATAATATCTTCGTCTCGTCATAATCATCACCAATATAATCATCCCCGATAATATCTTCGCTTCGTCATAATTATCACCAATATAATCATCCCCAATAATATCTTCGTCATAATCATCACTTGTATTATTTATTTCCGGATTTATTTGTTATATAAATATATGTAATAATATATACCCAATTTCTTATTTGGTAAGACTAAGATCTAAAGAGCTCTTTGCTTATTATCATAATGACTGACAGCATCATTATCGTTGATTAATTGTTAGCTTTAATAATTTATTCTTTTTTCCAAGCTTAGATATAGATTTGAATAGTAAAAAAGAGAATAAGTATTAGCTTTTCATTCCCAATCAAATCAACTAATCACTTGAAGAGTCCTGAGAAAATATCTTGCTGATAATTTATTAGCATATCAACACCTTATCCTTGCTTTCAGAAATGATCAAATTCTTCTACAACTAGTTTAACATTCTATTTTACCTATACTAGATGTAATTTAAACAATAAACTACTTTTAGATTTTCTTAGAAGACTTCCTCTTTAATCCAAGAAGTCTAGTCTTCCTTTGAAAAATATTAAATGTATGATCCTGTATACACAATCATTATTAAAAAGGTAAAATTACCACATCCAAATAAGGGTATCACTATTACGATGCAGTCATTAAGAGAATCCTGGTTTTACATAAATATCAATCACTTATACCAAAATTTCTTAGAATGTAATAGCAACAAAATGTTGATCCAATCACTTCAATAGCATCTCCTATTATTTCAATCAACTATTTTTTATAAATGATCTTATTGAGCAGCCCTATTACAAACTTCAACTTTAACAACTTTCTACCACCTTCTTTAATGTGTTCTTTAATGTGATAATTCATCTAACATTTATATAAATAGTTTATTAATAGGAGCTGCAAAAGATACATATCATATAAAAATTGGTTGGATCTTTTCTAAACTACATGATTAAAATCAATGCTCGTTCTTAGCTACTATTTAATACTATCTATCCTCAACTAGTGCTTGTATTGCTAACTGCTTTGATTGTTTGTCCTTCATCTTCAACACTAACAATCTTTTTAAATAGCCAAGCTACAATTCAAGGATTTTACAATTTGTTTAACAATGCTCACATAACCCATTCTATTAATAAAACTTTAAACTTTATCCTTTAAAATTTAATAAATATATAGTTTCTCTCCTCTCTAGATCTTTAAGTTTCATTTATAAAAGTGGAAGAACACTCAAATGATTTTTATAATAAAGTATATTCTCTATCTAAAGTCAATTTACTCCTCTTACCTTAAATATAACTTCAATAGAAAATATTAAAATAGTTTTTTTCTTTTAATAAAGTTCCTATTAAATCTTTTTTCAGGAAATTTTGAAAGGATTTTTATACTACTTCACAATTTTCTAAATATTTATAACTAAATAGATATAGCTCTATCAAATAACAAACTAGCAATAATATAAAATCCTATCTTCATTTTTCTTTTATTTAGCTGATAATGAAATGACAAGAAATCTTTAACTTTATTATTATAAAAAAGTAAAAAAAGCCTTTAATATTAAATTTATTACTGAAGAATTACCAATTGAAAATTAGACACCAGATATTTATAAAGGTTGAATTGTGCTATTTATAACATAACTCCTGAAATCACTAATCACTTATAAACATGCCTTTCTAATAGTGATAAAATAATCAACATCTTTACCGATCTGATGAATTATACTAATGAGTTTATCTTTTTTCAAATTGATAATAATAAATAGCATTCATGATTAACTATCAAAAAATAACTTTTGAAAGCATTAAATTTTTCTTTTAACTTTATAGATTTTGTTTAATTTTTAAAAGGTTTCATTTTTAAATCTTTAACTAATCTCCTTAAAAATCTTTTTTCATAATCAATAGTAAACAATTAGTATTAAGCATCTTAGACAAATTAATGATTCTATTTATAAATATCATACTATATAACTATGAAAAAATAATCCCCTAATATTAAAGCTAAATTAAAGAAAAAAAAATAAGAATAAAGTAAGTGACTGTTCTTCTTCTAAACTAAGAAAATCTTTCTTTAATAATTGGAAAATTGGATTTATGTAACTTTTAAATTTAGTCATTTCTGATGTGATTTCTTAGTACAATACTAATATGTTCATTTAGATTTCTCATCAATTTATACATTACTTGAAATTTTCTTTTAAAAGATACTGAGGGAGAATTTTAATGAATGGTTAATCCAAACAAGTTTGAAATAGAATTATAAAGAATAATTAGTCTATATATTTTGTATTTACTTTTTTTGTTTTATTAATTTAGTTATTTTTGTATAATTTATTAATAAATTACTAACAGCACTATATGGGAACGTTTCCAGTAAAATCAAGTCATGAGGCATAGTAAATCATATGATCCGTAATGTGATTTTACTAGAAACGCTCCCATATAGTTAAAAATAAAAAAAATCATTAATATCATTATAGGATTTAGCAATCCTGTCTTAGTTAATATTATCTATTATAGGTTACATTAGTAATTATATCCAGTTTAGCATATCCAGTCATGCTAAAAGATATCTGATAAAATTATATATCTATATAGAAAAATATTATTTTAATAATTATTCAGATAAAGCATCTAATCCAATCAGATGACCTAGATATATCTGTCTGATAATTAATATTATATTAAAATTTATGTTAGTTAAGAATTTTGAGAACTTAATGAGATAAATGCAAGATAATTAATATGATAATCAATTTGATCTCAAACTTTACATTTACATTTCAATTTAAAAAGTCTATATACCTTCTTTTTAAGTTTATTACTTTTTTTAAACATTTTAAATATCATAATATTAAGGTAATATTATGATTTTTTTTTAATTTCTCCTTTTAAAATATGACTCTTCCAAATACTTCTCATGAAAACTTAGCTAAACTTTAAAAAAACTAGTTGAATATGAATGCATTTTATTAAAGACTTTAATGATAATAATTAACCAGTTATGAGCAGTCATTATTACCTAAATATACTATACAAAACATTACTAAAACTAAGATACCTTTATATCACAATTTGTTAATCAAAATAACAGTAGCTAATGGTTGAATATTTTAATGGATTAATAACTCTTCAATATAAGCATTTTTTAATTAGTTAAATCCAAAATTAAAATTACTAGATCGAAAGTAATTAGCTGAACTTATATTAGATCAAACTATAGAAAATATTGAATATTTACATCAAGAAAAACTAAATTAAATACATGAACAAGCTGATATTACACTTTTTTAAAGTTGAAAACATGTTATAAATCAAGAATTATTTGGAGTTATAATCATATTACCTTCTAATGAAAACTTTAGCATGGAAAGTGATAGATATAAGTGGTCAAAGAGAATGCATTATTGATATTATACCACATATTAAAGAACTTTTAAATAAATTAAAAGAAAAAACAATAAAAATAGCTGCAATTGTAAGTGATAGCACTGTAGTATATACATCAGCAAGGTAAAAAATTTTAAATTATTAATATAAATAAATTAAATATTTATTTATTTTAATATTTATTTTATATAGAAAATAACTTTATCCTAAATATTCTCAATATGTTTTTTTATCATGTATTACACATCAGTGTAATTTGGCAGTTAGGAAAATTTTTAGGGAATCAAATACTTTAGCAAAAGCATCTGCTAATGCTTTTAAATTATTTCTTTATTTTACTCATTCTAATAATATATATTTTATTGATAAATTAAGAAAAATGTAATTGGAATTTTATAATAAATGTTATACTATAATTAAATCCAGAGATACAAGATAGATTTTTTACTATAATTATTATAAAAGTTTAATTCAGACTAAATAAGTATTAAAAGTAAATAAAGTTTATTTTTAAATTTAATATTAAAAAATTATAATTAATTATAAATTATTTAAATAATTTTAAATAGAATTTAATTACAATTATGATCCTTCTGAAGCAACTTTTTCAGAAACTACTGAATTGTATCTTCAAATTAAAATTTGTCAAATAGTTATGAACCATTTGTTTTGGATTCAAATTTCAAATTAATGCAATCTTATTGTGAAACACTACATAAATTATAAGCAAATAAAGCTCAACTATTTAATATTGCTTTATCTTTTAGATACTTTGTTAGATTTTGTAAGCAAAATAAAGATCAATTATTGGATAAAGATATAATTTTATGTCTTAAAAAATGTTGAAAAAATTGGGAGCAACAATTATCACTATTTGCTCTTATTCTTCATTAGCTTAATAAGTTTAATCCTGATTTAAAATCAATTAATTTTATAGAAATTGGAAATTAGCTTAGCTTTTATTATAAGACATGAACATGTAAAAACCAATGAAATTACTTTTTGAATTTAAATCTTATTGAGTAAAAAAATCACCTTTTAATAATGAAATGTATAAACAATATAATGATGATATTTTAGCATATTGGTATTATTGTTCTACAATGTGTAAGGAATTAGGATTAATTACTATAAAAATTTTTAGTATTTGTGTAAATTCAGCATCTATTGAAAGATTATTTTCATCAATGGGATTTTTGCATATTTCTTAAAGAAATAAATTAAAAGTATATTTAATTTATTCATTTTTATATATAAATTTATATATATTAATAAAGTATCAATTTTAATTTTATTATTTTATTTAAATTTATTTTAGTATGAAAAGGTTGTATTTATGGCTCAACTTTGAGCTGATATTAATCAATCTGAAAATAAAAGAAACGAAAACAAGAGTTAAAAAATTAAATAATTACCAATTATTAAATTAAGTGATCTAAATATTAATAAATCACAAGCTGATATGCAAGAAATATTTGAGAATCTTCAAGAAGAAACTGGTTATATAACTACTGAGAAATATTGAAAAGAAAGATTAGAAGAATAGTATGAATTATTAGCTGAAAAAGAAATTTTAATTGATGTAGAGGAATTATCAGATTATGGTGAACTTAATGTTGAAATATTAAGATCACATATTCATCCTATTATTGATAATAATACGAAGTAAAACTTGCACAATCTTTTTATTAAAGTATTGGAAAGACCAGAATTAATATCTATATCTTCTGAGTTTTTAAAAAAATTTTTTTGTTAAAGAAATAGATTTAAATGGGTAAGTATTATTGAGTAACAAAAAAAAATAAAAATGAAAGTAATTGCAAAATTTTTAT